CTCTCTCTCTCTCTCTCTCTCTCTCTCTCTCTCTCTCTCACACACACACACACACACACACACACACACACACACACATGATTGCTCGCTCCTTTCACATTCCTTCATCCTATTTATTTCTTCAGGATCTTCTTTGGTCACATTTATTTCTTCAGGATCTTCTTTGGTCACATTTTTCTTTGTGGATGTGGTTTGCTGATATACCTCGTGATGCGCGGCTCTGATTTGTCACCGTTTGAACTTTCCAGTAAATGTCCTTCCCATGTGGAGCAGTACTTGATGACGTCTTTATTTGCTTGTGCAGTGACATGCCCCCTTTCTTTCATTTTCTCTATACTCTTAAAGCGAATCGCGGGTCTCGCATAACGCTCCCACGCGAGGCCTGCCTCCACTGTTGGGAACATTTCTGGGACAAGGACCGGGCCCAACTTCTTGTCTTACTCCATTGCCGTTGTTTCCAGATCGCATGGGCCGGCGCATGTTCAAATACAAGTGCATAGCGCCATTGTGCCCCAAGTAGATTTGCCACTAAGATTCGTTGTTTTTTGTTTTTTTTGAAGCAGATTCATTCTTGTCTTTGTCTTATTCGGAAAAGGGCAAACAAAAGTATGGCGATGTATCTTTTGATGTTCCAGGGGAGGATTCTTTTCTCAGATATGTCCAGTTTCGATGACAACTTGCACTTCCTCAATAACATTTTCTTCTATTTTTTCTCCTCCTCCATAACGGAAGTGGACAAACCCTCATCCTTTTTTTTTATCCCCTACACATATTTATCCTTACTGATCATGTTCATACCCTGCAAGTGGTCAGATTGGTACTAAAATAGACACTGAAATTCACTCATATCGAACCACTGTCATCCTCCTCCTCGTCATCGTCGTCGTCCTCCTCCTCTTTCTTCTATTCCTGCTCGTCTTTCTCCACCTCTTACTCCTCCTCCTCGGCCTCGGCCCTTTCCTCTTCGTCTTCCTCTACTTCCTCCTCTTCCTCCTCCTCCTCCTCGGCACTTTCCTCCTCCTTAATAATTCGCTTTACGTGATAACTTGAAAACTGTTCAACAACTCCAACTATCCAGAGGGAAACTTCAGAGCAAACCATCTACTAGACGGTTCGATTACCCAAGTCTGACGAACAATTTGCACGTTGGTATTGCTGCGAGCCTCCACATAAAGGCCCCCTCAGCCGCCGCCCAGCCCCACAACCCTTTGTTTTTTATAATCAACCAACAACCAATCAATCAATCAATCAAAAAAAAATAAAAAAAAATCCAATCGAATCAATAAATTCAATGGGATCTTGATTTCGAAATCAAGATCCAATCGAATCGATTGATTCGAATCATTCGATTTGATAATTTTTAATTTAACTTTTTAATTGATTGATTGATTAATTGGTTAGAAAACATAAAGGGTTAGGGGGTTGGGTGGCGGTTGAAATCAATCAATCAATCAAGACGTGCTGGGAACCGGGCCCAGCGTCCCATGTAGAATATACAAATGAATTGAAATACCAGGGCCATTACCTGGCTTCAACTACGAACAATCTGAAAACTATGAAAAAAGTTCAGGAAGATTTAGGAAAACGTGGATAACTGTTGACCTATTGTTAGGCTACTTAAATAGCAATTACCACAAAAGTCTTTGAATGCTCAGTACCCCTGGACTCCCCGACAAAGCACTCTAACATTCTCTAACACTGTCTAATTCCCTGCCGAGCTCTCCCAGGCCTCATGCCCCCACCCTGCTAGGTTACAGGGCATCACGACTCACCCCAACTCCGGCCAGCCTCGTCCCGACAGCAACCCTTGGTTTTCCCTTGGAATGCTCGGCCCAAGGCATCCCCAAATCTCTCTACCAGGCCTTACGCTCCTGCTATCAATAGGGTATAGGGCAACCTCCCAGCACCGGCCAGCGTCGTTCTGGCATCAAAAAACCGCAGGTCCATGAATATAACAGCATCAAAGATGCCTAAAATGAGTTGCAAGGAGTACCCAGAATCCTAAAGCATTCTCAAGGGTTTTTTGTTGAGAAAAATTGAGAAAAAAAAAAAGAAGACTTCCCCCTGCCAGCATTGATTGCCTCAGAACCAGGGGATTGACTGAGCAGGGATGCCCTTTGATGATAGGTCTTTTTTTGCGAAAAATATGAGAACAACTTGCATCGAATCGCGATTCAATTGGGATCTTAAATCAATCAAGGGCCATTGAAATCGATGGCTCTGATTGATTGATTGATTGATAGAATGATTAATTGATAGAATAATTGATTGATTGATTAAAACAAAAATGCAGGGGGAGGGTTGATTTGTGCGTCTCCAACATCGCTGCCGTCCTCCTCCTCCTCTTTCTCCTCCTCCTCCTCCTACGACTACTACATATACTATTACTACTACTACTACTACTACTACTACTACGACCATTCGTTGTTCTTCTCCTCCTCCTCTTACTCCTATTCCGCCTCGTCTTCCTCTGCCTGCTCGTCCTCCTCGACCTAGGTGTTTTCCTTCTCGTCTTCCTTCTCTTCCTCCTCCTCCTCCTCGACCCTTTCCTCCTCCTCGTCGTCCTCCAACCATTCGCTTTACGATATAAAACTCTTCAGCAACTCCAACTATCCTGAGGGAAACTTCGGACGGAACCACGCACTAGACGATTCAAGTAGTATTTCGCCCCTATACCCAAGTCTGACGAACGATTTGCACGTCGGTATCGCTGCGAGCCTCCACAAAGAGGAGGAGGAGGAGGAGGAGGACGAGGAAGAGGAGGACGAAGAGGAGGAGTGGAGGAAGAAGAAATAGAGGACGACAATGAGGACGAGGACGAGAAAGGGAAGGAGGAAGAGGAGGAAGAGGAGGAGGAGGAGGAGGAGGAAGAGGAGGAAGAGGAGGAAGAGGAGGAAGAGGAGGAGGAGGAGGAGGAGGTGGAGGAGGAGGAGGAGGAGGAAGAGGAGGAAGAGGAGCAAGAGGACAAGGAGGAAGAGGAGGAGGAAGAAGAAGAAGAAGAGGAGGATGTTGAGGAGGAAGAGGACGAGGAGGAGGAGGAGGAGGAAGAGGATAAAAAGGTGGAAGAGAACGAGGTAGAGGAGGAGGAGGAGGAGGAGGAGGAGGAAGAGGAGGAAGAGGAGGATGACGAAGACAAGAAGGAAGAAGAGGAGGAGGAGGAGGAGGAGGAGGATGGTGACGAGGAGAAATAGGAGGAGGAGGAGGAGGAGGAGGAGGAAGAGGTGGCTGCAGGACGATGGAGGAGGAAGAGGCGAAGGAGGAGAAAGAGGAAGAGGAGGACGAAGAGGAGGACAAAGACGAGGAGGATGAAGAGGAGGAGAAGGAGGAGGCGGACAACGACGAGGAATAGGAGGAGGGGGGGTCGAGGAGGAGGAGGAAGAGGGGGCCACGCGGCGATGAGGAGGAACAGGAAAAGGAAGAGGAAGAGGAAGAGGAAGAGGAAGAGAAGGAGAAGGAAGAGGAAGAAGAGAGGAGGAGGGCAGCATAAAGGCTCACCTTGATGTTGACGACGAAGGAGGAGGTGTCTTCCGACGAGGCTCTAGCGGCGACGGCGATGGCTCAAGCAGCAGAACAACGGGGCAGCGGACCGTCAGCGTCAACACACTGGGGGGAAATAGCAACAAGCAGTGCGGCGATGGGGCAGCGGGCCGTTGCTGTGGAGGGACTCAGGGTTCGGGCCACTACCCACGTACAATCCAAAACTGGCAGTTGCGATTCGAATTCGAAAATGGCTTGATCTGGGCCGTCGATCTTAATGGATCAATGACCCAGATCGGGCCATTTCTTTTTTTTAATTTGGTAGGGCCCTTACCGGATCCGCCAATGCGACTGGGTCCCAGAGGTTCATCGAAACCCCTAGCCGCCCCTAAACCCCTGAAAGAGGCCCTGTGCCTATTCTGCGCAGGCCCCATAAAGCTTATTTCCAGGTTCTTCCGGGGTTCTATTTACGGCCAAATAAACCGGTTGGTTCAGGGCCATCTGCATATCCGGAAAAACAACATTAGGAAAAAATAAAAACAAAATTATGTAACAAATATATGTTATGCAGAATCATGGTACAAACAACTTCTGCCTGGGCTTCATCCCCGAATTCCCAACCAAGCTCGAATTAAAAATCAAGAAAAAAAAAAAAAAAATTATAATATCATCTTAATAATTGAAAACTATTAAAAAGTTAGGCTACTAGTCGGGCCCCCGGGTTCCCCTGTCTTCCCCGACGGCCGGCATGCAAGGACCAGGAAAGGTCCCAGGCTCCTAGCCATCGTTACCAGGCCGAACGTTCGGGGCCCCCTGGGCTGACCCCAAACATTCGGGCGTTCGGGGTCATGTTTGGGGTGTGAACCTGAAGGGGTTCAGCCCCCGCCAAAAATTATTTTGGGGCCTAAAAATTATTATTTCTTGTTAAAATTGTTTTTTTGAGTTCTGTATGACATGTGCTACATGCATATGAATTTGGAAGGCATTTTGCGAAGCCGAAACACCTACGTGGTGCTACCCAGGTGTATCTTTCGTTGATCGAGTGAAAGATTCATTCTCATTTTACACATTTGACGAGTAGTGGAGCGGGACCCTTGGTGTGAGTACAACGTCCTCGATAGACTACGCACAAAATGAGAATGAATCTTCCTCTATAACATGAAGAGATACACCAACAATTCTTTTTTTTTTATGTGGATGTGGTGAGTAGTGGAGAGAGGCAGGATTCGGCGCAGGTAATAACCAACGTACCTTTTTTTTTTTTTTTTGGAACTTTGCAACAAACGTTACCTTTCCTTGCTTACCAAATATGCAAAATGAATGTTTAGCTAGAATATGGAAAGATAGACATCTAGGCGTTATTCATTTTGCATATGTTGTGAGTGATGGAATGAAGTTCGTATCTGACAAATTCGGGCGGAGGTACGACCAACCCTCACCACGGACTTTGGCGGCTGGTAAGATTGAAAATCCCCCCAACATTCCCTCATCATGAATTAACCCGACTTAAGAAAGATAACAATATTACTGCCAATTTACTGGTGTATTTTTCAAAGTCCTTCCACACTACAAGTTTGTTTTTGGTCGAACCCGCCCCCACATACTTTTTTTCTTTAGTTGTTGCAAGACCCTGAAACAATTTTATGCGGCACATCTTTAAATTTTGGGGGATAAGCTAACCCGCCGACTTTTTTTTTTTTTGTTGAGGGGGAGCCCGCATTTTTGCCTTTATGGTGCATCGCGTGCGCCACGTGCACAATGCACAATGTACCGCATGCGTGCGATTAGCGAGTACGCAATGCGCTGCAAGTATGGTAATAAGTGTAGCGTTGGCGCCTCTCAGTTAATTGCGACTGGCAAGTTGACCACCATACAACTTAGTTTCCCACATTTGCTTTAATTACCAATTTTATTAGTTTCCCACCTTTGCTTTAATTACCGCTTTTATATTATATGATGACAATGATGTTATTTCCCAAGCTTCTCTAAAAAACGAGGTTGCTGAAAAATTGCGACTTTTTCCCTCTGATGAACTTTGGATAATGTTAACGTCGAAAAACTTCAAGGGATAAGTTAACCCGCAACAACTTTGTGGTTTTTTCCTCTCTTCTTTCGTAGACATGTTTAAGTTCTGCTTATATGAAAATTTTAATTGATAGAAAAAAATTATGGTGGTCTAATGACATCTATACGTCAGTATGGTACTTCGTGTTCATCTGTTTTGGAAGTCTGTGCGGTTTTGTAGTATTGGCGATAGACTGCATGTCAATCTCACACCTTTCGTGCTAAGTCCTTATTGAGGGTGGGTTGATCCCAATTTGTCTTACCCTTCTCTACTCATACTAAACGTTGTAGGAAAGTAGTAGGGTGATTGCTCTTCATTGTGCACCTAGTTTGAATAAAACCTGTTTGAAATGATCTTCTCGAATTTTATTTATTCCTAATTCCTTTTATGTTTTGATTGACTACACATATCTTTTCTCCTTTTGCCAACCTTTCTCTTTACTATCTCTCACCCATAAATATTTTCTTCCAATCTAAGTTCCCTGCTTCTAGCATCCCCCTCTTCCCTCAGCATCGTGTCTCCCCCTTCCCTTTGAATGCATGAATGGTTTGTTCTCCTTATATGTTCCGAATCTAATATTTATCGTAGGCTCGTATCGAGAGAGGCTCACATGTATTTACTTGCAACTCGCAACTGCAAAGGTTTTTTATTAATTTACCCCGCCATGTTTTTGTTATACTTTTTTTTCTCCACCTAGTATTTTATTATTGTGTTCACTTTACAACTTCATTTATTAATTTTGTGATTTCTTTTTTTTCCTCTTGAAGAAACTTCATGTCTCTATAGACTTTTTGAGGTTCGTACATGATACGAGAATCCTATAAAACTTCTCTTCGTAGTGCAGTGCTTGGCGTGGCTGGCTCTTTATTGCAATTAGTCACCACCCATGATCCATAATATGAAGGGAGAATCGGGCAGGAATTACTCGAAAATGCTTGGTATTACCTTCTTCCATGATTCATTACTCTATGCAGTTGTCGGGATTATTGCAAATATGTTGCCTTTCATGTGTATGTCAAGGTTCTGAGCGTTGACAGGAAGATAAAAAATGACTTTTAAAATTAAGAATACATTATTTCAATAAGTTCAATTCTTTGTACCGACCTACAACCAAAAACATTATCGATTAGTTCGAAGCGGTGTACATTTTGCGCATTGCATTGATACAATGAGGGGAATATATTTAGTGAGTCTACGCAACACAAATTATCTGGTCGTACTATAAAGTCGGACGAAGTGTTTTTAAAGATGCATAATATGAAGTAAAGAGGTATTTTCCAACGTCATGGAGTTTGTTAGACCCTGCCCATCCCAACATGTCCCAACACATCCCAATGTACTTTGGACATTTAACCAGCACAATCTTAACATGGTCTAATTATCTCTCCCGTGGGCGAGGGGAACGTAACCCTAAGGTAGTCAAAGCAATGAGACTAAGCATTTGCGCGCGCTAGAGAGAGAGAGAGAGAGAGAGAGAGAGAGAGAGAGAGAGAGAGAGAGAGAGAGAGAGAGAGAGAGAGAGAGAGAGAGAAAGAGAAAGAGAGGATAACAAAAATGAAATATGGTTTGCCGATACGATCTATTTCTCGCCATTGAAATTATAATATTGTTTTATTTAATGAATGTTTTTCTTGGAAAGTTCACAATAAAAATCTACAAGCACTTCAATTTTCAAATTTCTTCACTCATTCTTTTCATTGTGAAAAATCACCGAATTCGGAGTGTTTTTTTTTTTTTTTTTTTTTTTTTTTAGAGAGAGAGAGAGAGAGAGAGAGAGAGAGAGAGAGAGAGAGAGAGAGAGAGAGAGAGAGAGAGAGGGTGGGAGTATGTGTGTGTGTGTGTGTGTGTATGTGTGTGTATGTGTGTGTATGTGTGTGTGTGCGCGAGATATATATATAGATAGATAGATGGATAGATGGATATATCTGCCTACGGTTTACCGGGCAGTTCTGTTTGTGACGATATATATATATATATCAAACAGTTTGTCACAGCCCCTCGTTTGTTGTCCTCTTCTCTCTCTCTGCCTACGGTTTACCGGGCAGTTCTATTTGTGACGATATATATATATATGTATATATATACAGAGAGAGAGAGAGAGAGAGAGAGAGAGAGAGAGAGAGGCTGAAACTATGGCAAAAATGAAAAATAGGTCGAATTGCCACCGCGACATATTTCTTGATTGAAATTATGTTTTTCACTTTATTGAATACTTTTCCTCAAAATTTTACAGCAAAATCTACAAGCACTCTTAGTTATAGATTTTTTTCACGCATTCGTCTTTGTGCGAAAAACCACTAAATTTGAAGTACTTTTTCTGCTAGCCCACTCATGGTCGAGTGGCAAAACTGAACATTGTGGGCGCGGGGAACGCAGCCCTAAGGTAGCTAAAGCAATGAGACTAGGTGCTCACGAGAGAGAGAGAGAGAGAGAGAGAGAGAGAGAGAGAGAGAGAGAGAGAGAGAGAGAGAGGTTGAATGACAAAAATGAAATATGGGTCAAATTGGATCTATTTCGTGGTTGATTTTTTTTTATTTTTTTTAATTATTGAATATTTCTCCTCGAAATATCACAACAAAACGTATGAGTGCTTCAATTTTGATATTTTTTCATGCGTTTGTCCATGCAGGAAAAATCACTGAAGTTTGGGTACTTTTTCTGTTGGTCCCCACATGGCTGAGTGGCAAAAAAAAA